TTACTTTCTTCACTTTTAAAAACTCAGGTTCATCTTCATTATTTTTATTTAATTTCTTTTTATGCTTTTTATGAATTCTTTCAGTTTCATTAAAATTATTAAAAGATGTATCATCATTTTGAAAAATTTCGCTTTCACTTTTCTCTTCTGATCTTACTTTCTTCACTCTTAAAAACTCAGGTTCATCCTCATTATCTATACTTAATTTCTTTTTATGCTTTTTATGAAATCTTTTAGTTTCATTAAAATGATTAAAAGATGTATCATCATTTTCAAAATCCTTGCTTTCACTTGTCTCCTTCGAGTTTACTTTATTCACTCTTAAAAACTCAGGTTCATCTTCATTATTTTTATTTAATTTCTTTTTATGCCTTTTATGAATTCTTTTAGTTTCATTAAAATGATTAAAAGATGTATTATCATTTTGAAAATCTTCGCTTTCACTTTTCTCTTCTGATCTTACTTTCTTCACTCTTAAAAACTCAGGTTCATCCTCATTATCTATACTTAATTTCTTTTTATGCTTTTTATGAAATCTTTTAGTTTCATTAAAATGATTAAAAGATGTATCATCATTTTCAAAATCCTTGCTTTCACTTGTCTCCTTCGAGTTTACTTTATTCACTCTTAAAAACTCAGGTTCATCTTCATTATTTTTATTTAATTTCTTTTTATGCCTTTTATGAATTCTTTTAGTTTCATTAAAATGATTAAAAGATGTATTATCATTTTGAAAATCTTCGCTTTCACTTTTCTCCATTAATACCTCTTCTTTCATTATACTTTTTGAATTATAAGTATCCATTTAAATAATTTACCGTTAATTATTTATAAATCTAACAAATTTCTTCATATTTTATTTCTTATTACCTCCATTCGTTTATTTTTCATTCATTAAAAGTATGTAAAAGATTGTGTATAATGTAGAACCACTTACGAGTTTATTATTGTTTTCTTCGATAAAAAAAAAAATATTCGTTTGATTTACGTATTAATGCTCTAAATTACAAGTCAGTTTAATAAAATAAAATGACCAATTATTAAATCTAATTGTAAATAAAAATTAATATATTTTAATCCAACAATACAATCCAACAGATATTGTTTATATACCACTATTATTACTATGTCTTATTTATGACTAGCGTAGTCATTTGTGAAAGATACTATTGCCATCTGGCGCATTAGTTTCTCTTCTTCGTAACTTCCATTCGAGAAAGTACACGTGCTTATAACAAAATGCAGAAGGTGAGAAATTTAGAATTTATAAATAAATTTAATAATTTCTATTGATTTAATTTTATTGAATAACATAAAATTTATTGTTTATTCATTTATTTTGTAGAAACAAAAAGAACCTATCCATTCTGTGCAAGTATTTGGGCGCAAGGTAGGTACACCATACCAATTCCCCTAACCTATAAATTATATGTACTTTTATTTTAATAGAAAAGTGCTACTGCAGTAGCTTATTGCAAACGAGGCCGTGGAAATCTTCGCGTAAATGGAAGACCATTGGAATTAGTTGAACCTCGCGTTTTGCAGTATAAATTGCAAGAACCTATTTTACTTCTTGGCAAGGTGAATAACAAGTTTCATTTATCTATTATAATAATGATGATAATAATAATAATAATAATAATAATAATAATAATAATAATAATAGTAGATTTTTCTAAAACTAAATAACTAACTTTAAATGAAAGTTAATTATACGTTAAAGATTTTGGAATGTTGAACTTTATTTTAATATACGGTGACTCGCTTTAATATTCAAATACCATAGATTTTCAAATACGATTGTCCTGTATGTGCTTACTGATAGTTGAGTTAAGGAATCCATGGGGTTTTCTTTTTCCACTAAGTAGTACATTTCTTCTAATTGTTAGAAATATAGATTTTATTTATTTAATTAACATAATTATCTATATAACATAATATAAAAAGAAAAATCGATATAAATCAAATAAATTAAATTATTTTATTTATATATGTTGTATGCAAGCCAGTGGTCTAGCTTGCATACAACATATATGAAAAGATAACAAAATGACAATCGTATTTAAAAAGCAACGATGTTCTAATAATACAGCGAGTTTGTATATAAGTTCAAGGATTGTGGTACTAATGCTATGTTAACCTCACATATTAAATATTTTTGCAATTGAAAACAAAATTGGTAAATGATTATTGTAACTTCGTAGGAAAAGTTTGCGGGTGTCGATATAAGAGTTCGAGTCAACGGAGGTGGTCATGTAGCACAAATATATGCCATTCGTCAAGCTATTTCTAAAGCTCTTGTAGCTTATTATCAAAAATGTAAGTAATACTAAATATACGCCAAGTATTCATATATATTTTATTCTCATTTATCTATACATATGTAAATACTATTCAATGACAAAATTAAACAGAAATATTATATTTTATTGTAGATGTTGACGAAGCGAGCAAAAAGGAAGTCAAGGATATTCTAATCCAATATGATCGTACTCTTCTGGTCGCAGATCCAAGAAGATGCGAACCAAAGAAGTTTGGTGGTCCAGGTGCGAGAGCACGATATCAAAAATCCTACCGTTAATATGTTTATCATATTATATAATATTTATACCGTTGAATACAAAAAAAAAACAAATTTCTGCAAGCATGATTAAATCATAAAAATTACTGGACTCTTAATTATTGATGTTTCTTGTATTTTTTTTAATTCCCTAACGAAAGAAGATCAGGCTTTCGGGACACCGATTATTTTTAAATTCTACGCTACTCTAGAAATCCTAATCGTTGAAAGTAATTACTTAATTAGTCGAGATACTCAATCTTTTTAACAAAGTAAAGGAAGAATTTTCTTATATTGGTAATTTCAAGTATTAAAAAAAAATAATAAGTAATATTAATTTAGCAAACATTTTAATTGCATATTGGGTTGTGTACAAATATGTAAACTTTATTTAACACTTCAGAACATACGTCTCCCGTATCACAGTCGTTACTATCGTGATAAGAAACTCACACGCCTATAGGGACCGAGCCGCTAGACTGT